TTAACATCTTAATTTTTACATTCCTTTTACTACATGTTCTACCAAAAGAATTGCACATCTATATTACTATGTAGTCAATAATATAAAATTCCTCCAGATCAGTACTAATCTCAAAATATACATCCATAATCTCACCATTACAGAGTTCAGCAGTCACTTCTCCATTGATCTTGAGTAGAAAACATGGCATTTCACAGTACAAACCAGGTGAGATATCTTGTAGACAAATGTATAACATATGATAAATGCAACTCTTCCTGACCATTCCTAGATCATAGCTACATTTTTCCCAAATGCTTGTGTTTTAGGTAGCTGCCATGCAATATTCAGATTATCTCTGTCTCAATTTCAAAAAAGTATATCCTGAAATACAATTGTTCGATCTCTGACATTCAGCTTCTTCATGGTATTTTCAGCTGACATGGGCTAAATTTCACAGACTGAATCAGTGTAACAGTTCCTAACATGGCAGCCCACGCATGAACTGCATTCTAGTAAGAAATATCTACAGAGTACAGCAGACAACATCTGTAATGTGCAGAACAGTGCTTTCAAAAACAAGGATACAAAGATGCTGACTCCTCAGTACAGTGAGGTGATACCCTCTATCTTAACAACAAATTTAAAATGGTTACATGATTCTCACACAGGATGTAAATTTAATTCAAAAATAGTTTGCATACATACGACTCCTAGACAAAGCTGAAGTTTTCTGCTTCTACTAATGTGACAGCTATGAGTTGGTCCACTCCTTGAAAATTTTCTCCTATAATAAACATCTGGTAACAACATTACAAGACCAGTTACAGGGATCCACATGTGTACTCTTTATTCTAGCTCTCACCACTGCAAGCTTCAAATGCCACTGCATGGTAAGGATATCTCACTGATTGCCAAGGTCAGGCCACAAAAGAGAGAAAAGGTCACACAAGCTATTTCTCAAATCATGTATTTCCTACATAGCCTTCAGGGACATCCAAGAAGAACCTCAAAAAATGTAGGGGAAACTAGATGTAGATGACAAAACTTCTAAGTGGAGCCCTTAACTGCCAATGAGAACCACTTCACCTATGTGTAGTGTGCCAGTGACTGCAGCTCTTGACTGGCAGTGGCTTATCTTCAGGAAGATTTCGCTTCATGAGAACATTTCCCTATAATTTCAAGGATTTAAGTACAGCACTACAGGAAGTTTGAATACCCCAAATGAAAACTCGCAAATGATGGAAGGTAAGCAGCAAGAGAAACTATTTACAGTAGATGCTTCTGGGCACCTCTGTTTCAATTCACCATTCTTATTTTCATTCCAAGCTCTCGGGACTGAAGCAACAGAAGCATCAGCTTTTCCATGACCTTCTGGGACTCTGACTTAACCCTGTTGAACATCAAGCTAATTTCCTCACAGAAATTGCTGCCAATATTTCAAATGGTTTCCTTTGGACGATTCACACTGCTTGAAGACTGGGTAATTGGAAACTTTTAATTCCACAGTATCTTTGTCAGCTTCCTCTCATTTCTGTCATACCTGCTTAATCCTTCACAGAAAAGCTCTCAAAATGTATATTCCCAAAACACATCAAAGCTAAAAAAAAAAAAATAAATTGCATTTTCCCACAATTCTTCAGTCAACATCTGCATCTGTTCTGTAAGGTGCGTACATTATCTATCCCTATTTAAGTTTAAAGATAAGAGTTTTCCAGATCACTTGGAATCCAGATCCACTGATTTCCAGGCAAGCTGTAAGTTTTCAGCATATCTCAGCAGTAAGCAATAAACTGAAGGACACTTGGTTTGTTTCTTATTTCCATATGATTTCCACCTGTTGTGTTCTTCTTTTTGTCAGCTAGTCAGCAAAAATTTAGTGAACATTGTATAAAGAATTGATGAACAGTATTTAGAACCTGCTTCTCTGTAGGAATTTGGCTGATATCGTAACAAATTAGTTTCAAGCTCTTTGTTGATAATTTTGATACGGTCCTTCTTTCCTTTGCTACCTCTTTGTACCTCTGTTGTCCACCAGCTGTTAGGTGATCATTTTACATGATACAGGATAAGGGAAAACAGCTTTAAGCTCAAAGAAGGTAGTTTTAGGCTGGATATAAGGAAAAAGTCTTCTGCAGTGCGGGTGGTGAGGCTTTAGAACAGATGGCCCAGTGATGCGGTTGACATCCTGTCCCTTGAGACTTTCAGGAGGAGGCTGGATCAGGCCCTGGACAACCTGATCTGCCTATGGTATCCCCATTTGTTACAGGGGAATTGGGCTAGATGGCTGTAATGCTACAATGTGATAGAAAGTATGGCAATAATAGTGGGGTGGAAAAGTCTTCAGTTGCAGCAAATAAGGACAAGCCCAAGTACAGCTGCCATAGACACAGAAATGAACAACAACAAGGAGCTGCTCACCTTCAGAAGCAGGGATCTCCAACAAGATACCCTCACATCCACTGCCAACCCTTAAATGAGGTCTGGGAAGAGGTGGATCCTGACTCCACCCTTTCCAGTCACTCAGCTGCACTGCATGTACTTGAGCCCCCATGGGTTGGCCCTGTCTTCCCACCAGGTGCTCAGTCACTGGTTCAGGCTGTGACTCAGCATTTCTGCTACAAACACCTTTAGAGGTCCCTTCCAACTCTATGGATTCTATGATTCTATGAAATATTTTCAAATTGTGACCCAATTAAGGTCAATGCCTTCATTTCCTCCTCGTTTGGAGGCAGACCCCTCCTCAACCAGCCATTACATTTCTTTCATTGGATATATAAAGTAGCAAGAGCAGAAAAGAGAAGCAAGTCCATTATTGCAAACAACACTGCTAATGGCAATTTATCAGAAACTCTGAGTATACACAATTTTAAACACTTTCAGCATTTTCTTCAGCTAAATGCACTTCCTGATGAAGTAAGCCAGAGCAAGTGCTAAAACAACACGATTCTCCAATACACAGAACTGAATTAGCTAACGTGTAGCATTTCAATCTTGATGTTGTCTCCATTTATTTCCATTTTTCTCTCCTTCACACACAGCACGCAGATCAACTATTTTTATTGACCTTCATGGCGTTAATAGGAACAACTGTATTTAGAAATTCAACTTTGCCATCACACGATGTACTGCCTGCACCTGATAATTCTGACTGCATCACTTGGCAACTGATTTATTTAACCTGTTTACAACCAAGATTCCAAGCACACCATCTATTGCCTTTAGCATGAGAACTGTTTTCAGAACTGTTGATGTTTCAAAACTTGAACTTATATATCCCTTTTATTTTTGATGGGCACATCTAAGATTTATATAACACTGCATTAATGGTGGTAGTAATAGACGTTAGGATGTTGAGAACTACAAGAATTTTGATGCAACACAACTTAATTTCTCTGATTCTGTTGATGAAAGGAAATACACTCATCACATTAACAAATATAGTGACTTAAGTACAGCAAGCACTGCATTTTCACAGATGTAAAGAAAATGCAGTTTATTTTTTTTTTTTTCAGAATTGCATTGGTTGAAATGTATATATTTTGTTGCCAAAAAAAAAAAAAAAAAAACAAAAAAAAAACAGAGCATACAGCAGATGCACTGAATTGGCTCCCTGAGAGATGTCAAAACGTAGTTGTGGTAACAGAGAAGTCAGCAACTGGAGGCACTCCAATTGGATTTCCAAGGATTCTTACTGAAAGATTATTTAACATTTTTATTGATAATACAGACAGTGATACTCAAGTAAAGCTTGCTATTTAACAAACAGATGACCATATTAAAGGTTGCCGTTATTTTTCTCTTATAGATCGATCTGATGTGCTTTGCAGTCAAAGTAATTTAATTGTAGTTAAGTATAATGTAATACATCTGGAAAAAAATTATTATGGCTTATATGCTTATGTAAAATCTGCCTTAGAAAGCAGTAATCACAGGAGAAATGTGGAAAAAATTGTCTGAATGGGTGACGTAGGTTGAAACAGTACAGCAAAAAGGGATTAATGTGACTTCTCACAGTTCTGTTAGGGGGAATACAAAGTAGAAGATAAGATGCTGTCTTACCTCAGCACATCTACTACCACAGCACTGATTTGCTTCCCAATGCGCATAGCTGTTTATGATAGATTACTTCAGCATTATGTACATAACTTTCTCTTAAAGTTAATGGGAGGGTTCAGTAACTCAAGGCCTTTTAGCACACAAAAGCTCTGACATGGAACAGACCTTGAGACTAGCAGCCTGGACCAGTACAAACAAAAGAGAATACATATACAGAGTACAAAAGAGAATAAATATAATGCATACAACTTTGCTGTTCTTTTGAAGTACAGCAGCAAAATGTGCTCATCCAAAAGGTATTTATTCAAGTATACACAACATTGACTCAGTCTGGGGAACAAAAATGTAGCCTTGGGAGGGGATAAAGTGACTTCAGTTGTGCAAGGAAGCTTTTAACTGGTAACACCTGAGTGTTGTTTGGTAACACATGAATAGCAGAAGTGCTGGCTGGGTATTGGGAGCAGTCTCTGCAGCCAACCAAATGTGTCTTGCAATACAAAAAGGGTGTGTTAAGTCAGGGAACGCCTTTTAGTACACTAGCTGAAAAAAAAATGGAACATCCTCAGATCTTAAGACTATAATTAAGCTAAAACATACTCAATTTCATAGCATCATAGAATGGTTTGAGTTGGAAGAGACCTTTAAGATCATCTAGTTGCAAACCCCGCTATAGGCAGGGACACCTCTCTCTAGATCAGGTTGCTCAAAGCCCCATCCCACCTGACCTTGAATGCTTCCAGGGAGGGGACATCCACTTCCTCTGGGGGCAACCTGTTCCATGTCTCACTGCCCTCACAGTAAAGAATTCTTCCTAATATCTAGTCTAAATCTACCCTCTTCTAGTTTAAAACCATTTATCCTCATCCTGTTGCTACCTGCCCTTATAAAAGGTTTGTTTATATATATTTGTTTATATAAAGCTTTGAAAACAGGAATTCAGCATACAGTAGACAGTAAGATTATCTCACATCTTGCACATTTCCCCACTTTATTTTCTACCAAGCTCAATTCATGTCTGAATTGTGGGCACCAGGTTTGTTGAATATACCAAATATGAAAGAAATGATCACCACAGATAAATATACAGACAAAAGTAAGCACTTGAAGAGCACACAAATACAGCCTCTTGTCCACATCTTGAAAAACACAAGTGGAGTATGTTTTAGATGCAGAACAAAACCTTTAACACTTTTGTTTTGAAAAACAATGCACACTAACAGTTTATAATGTTCAATGGCTTCACAAAACAGACTTCTTACGATGGGTATGTAGTGATAGGACAAGGGGTTATGGCTTTATTCTGAAGGAGGGTAGGTTTAGATCAGATATAAGGAAGAAGTTGTGTGCTACGAGGGTGGTGAGGCAGTGGCACAGCCGCCCAGAGAGCTGTGGAGCCCCATCCCTCGAGGTTCTCATGGCCAGGCTGGGTGGGCTCTGGGCAGCTGAGCTGGTGGGGAACTGCCCTGCCCACGGCAGGGGGGTGGCACAGGGTGGGCTTTGAGGTCCTTTCCAACCCAAACCATTCCCCTGTCCTAACGTCTTACAGACAAGGAAAGAGTTCTAGACATCACCCAGAACGTCACGCACAGGAACACCATCTGCCTACAATAATTACCCTGAGAGAGGAAAGCCTGAGGGCAGCCCCTGATGCTGACAGACCCCTCGGGACATGGGGCAGAGGCAGGCGGTGCAGCGCGGATCCAGGCGAGCTGGGGCCGTACCACGGCCCGACACCCAGCCCTGCGGGGCTGCAGCACCGAACAGAGCCGGGGGCGGGGGCTGCGGGCGGGCACCTCCCAGACAGGACCGCGGTCCTGACGGCGTTTCCGGGCGGGGGAGCCGGGATGTGCGTCCGGGTTGGGTCGGCCCCAGCGAGCGGTTTCCTCTCGCCTCCCTTCCTCCGCCGCCTCCCTCCATCCCTCCCTCCCTCGCCGTCTCCGAGGCGGAGCCGCCGCCGCGCCAGGAGTCGGTGAGAGGGAGAGTGGGGTCGGGGGGGAGCGGGGCAGGGCCGAACCCTGGCGGGGGTGCCCGTGAGGTCCTCGGGGAAGCCGGGCTGCCTGGGTGGGCGGTGGCTGCGCTTCCTGAGCGAGCGGACGGCGGTGTGTAGCGCAGCGCAGCGGGAGGTAACGCGGCCGTACGGAAGCGTTGGCCGGCGGGAGAGGCGCGGGCTGCGGCGGGAGCGCTTCGCGGGCTGCAGCCGGGACAGTGTTCCCGATTGTATCTATGCACGGAGAAGTGCTGGTTTACGTAAGCCTCTGTCCGATGTGCCTGCCCGCACCGTGACCTTTGGCCGCGTACCTCAGCGGTTTGGGTCTGTCTCTGGTTAATGTACAGGTGGGCACGGACGAAAGGAACGGGAGGGAGCGGGGCAGCCCCGCGTGTGGGGTGAGATCCTGCGGCTGTGGGGCGGGAGCCTCGAATGTAGAGCTGCGTGCATCCAGCGGCGATCAGGTGAAGATTCAAACGTTTTTAAAAAGAAGCATTTTAGGGTGGGTTCTTGTTTTTAAAAGGTTTTGGAGTGGGTCCGGAGGAGGCCACAGGAGTGATGGGAGGGCTGGGCTGGAGCAGCTCTCCTGTGCAGTCAGGCTGAGGGAGCTGGGCTGCATGAGGCTGGAGAAGCTGCAGGGAGGGCTGAGTGCAGCCTTACAGTGCTTGAAGGGAGCTTACAAGCAGGAGGGACCAACGTTTTTACACAGCCTGATAGTGACAGGGCAAGGGGAAAAGGCTTTAAAATGGTTTAATTCGAGGTTAAATGTTAGGAGGAAATTCTTTACTCAGAGGATGGTGGCACGGCTACCCAGAGAGCTGTGGAGCCCCATCCCTGAGGTGCTCAGAGCCAGGCTGGGTGGGCACTGGGCGGCTGAGCTGGTGGGGGGCTGCCCTGCCCGCAGCAGGAGTTAGAAACTAGATGGTCTTTAAGGTCCTTTCAAACCCAAGCTGTTCTGTGATCTTTGTGAATCCTAAGATGAAATCATCTTTCCTCTTCTGTTCACGGTATTTTTATGAACGCAGCTATTTATTTTATTTACAGGATTGATAGATTGGTGAATAAGCCAGAGAGTCACCTGAGCTGCAGAGATGTTGGAAGAGGACATGGAGGTGGCCATCAAGGTGGTAGTGGTAGGAAATGGAGCTGTTGGGAAGTCCAGTATGATTCAGCGATACTGCAAGGGGATCTTTACAAAAGACTACAAGAAAACTATTGGTGTAGATTTCCTGGAAAGACAAATCCAGTATGTATCAAACAGATGTCATGCTATGCATTTTTACATTACCCTCTATTTCTTTGTTCTCTTGTAATCCTAAGATTGACAGATACTTGAAACACACATTAAATTATTTTTTGTTGTAGAGATGGAAATGCTTCTATGCCAATTGCTTTGTATTAATCGCAGAACCGTGTCATTTATTTCAGAGTTAATGATGAAGATGTCAGGCTAATGTTATGGGACACTGCAGGTCAAGAGGAATTTGATGCGATAACTAAGGCCTACTACAGAGGTGAAAATACCACGTTTACTGTTTGGTAGTTGGTTGGGTTTGGAACCCGTCTTTAAGATATTTTCCTATTTCTGGATTAAGAGTTTCAGTAATTCTTTGTGTTTGCGAAGTATGTTTAGCTCACCCTTTTCAGTTTGTGAATGTATTTACCCTTCACGTAAGATCCTCTCCATGATTAAGTGCCTCTTTATACAGTATTGTCCTTTGAAAAGAACATAGATCAGAACAAGGCAAATGTCTGTACAGAAACTCCTACATAGTATTTCAAAGAATCTAACTCAAAATCAAACTTAATTTGTTTTATGTGATGACCTATTTTTCATCCGATATGCTCCCTTAAAATAATTGAAGGCAGTTGTTGTGGAGTTTTGGGTGGAAATTCAGGTTGTGACTGATAGTTATGCCTTGATGTTTTTGGGTGCTACAATTTTCTGAGCTTTTTGTATTCCATGGTAGTTTTGGTTAACTACTTTTTTAAAAAGTAGTATTTCTTGCTGTCCCTTGTAATTGTTACAATTGCTACCATTTCTTCAGCAAAAGAAACTTCTATTCCTTTTTATCCTCCTGTGAAAATAGACCATTCTGTTATTTTACAGCTAACAAGTTGAGCGTATGAATTTTAGAAGATAGGACTCGATTATCTTTGGGCTTCTTTATCACTTGTTTCAAACTAAAGCAGTGACACACTAAAGCTTGGAGTATCCATCTCTTCTCTTAGTATCAAAACCGGTGGTTTAAGAAATAATCTGCCTGAGGATCTTGATGTCTTGCTGATGACTCATGGTGCAGGTAGAACTCTGCCTTCGAGATTTTTGTACTGCAGAGGCTGTTGTGGAGCAGAAGGTGGTCACCCTGTGGATACATGTTGTAAATTATGTGATGGATATCTTAACTATGCAGAGCTGTTAGATGCAGTGACTATTCTGCACTAAACTTTGAAGGACAAGGGAAATTTTAAGAGGCTGGAATGGAATTTCTATTTAGCAACAGGTCTGCAAGCACAGTATTATAAAGCAAAAGATCAAGTTTACTTTGTAAGTACAAGGATTTGGGTGCATTCTATTGCTGATAAGGGGAGGATGCCTCTAAGGAAGATAGAGCAAGTGTTGGCTGTTACTCCAAGGTCTGCATCTCCTTCAGATCTCTGTCCCACTGGCTGCTATCATTACAGTGAGGGTTACATACTCTCGTGGAACGTTGTGCGTTGTCAGTTCTTCAGGGATCAGGTGCTTATCCATGACAACACAATAAATGCTTCAGAGTCTGTTTCCGAGCCCTTGTCCAAGGACTGAATTCATTCAGCCTAGCAGAGAAATAAATTTAGAGCTGACACCAGATCTGTCACGTGGTTTTCATGTCCAGGTGATGGTATGCAGCCAGCACTGCTGCATACCTATGATCATACCATGCCAGGACTCAAACTGTCCAAAAACCTAAATTGAAAGAGTTGAAGGAAGCTTTGTGTATGTATGTTTTTCTATTTTGTGCTGTATTCATGCATCTTCTCACAAATTATACTTTTTTGTGTCCTGTGTGAACCATGCATTCTCTCAGCAGGTTGGTGCTTCATTTATATGCTAAGCAAATACACAAGTGGCTGTCATTAGCAGAACCATGCATTGTGTTCACACTACAGATCTTTCAAGGTAGTATTGATGACTTCTTAGTTCTTGCATTCTCCTCCAAACACTACCACTGCTGCCTTGAGCAGACACTTGTTAGGTTTTTGATGGAAGGGATGCATCTTACTCATTAGTCTGCTATTCAGCTGCTTATAAGTAAGGGCAAGAACAGAAGAGTGAAATGAATAGGTTCCAGATATAAATTCTTGTGTGTGTGTTCATCCTTATGTTCATCCATGGCAAGAAATTTCTTTATATGTTTTCTATTATATAATCAGTGTATTGTTATCAAAGGAGAAAATATGGTTACATAGTCTACGAGGACGGTGCAGTTTGCTGAGGATCTTTGAGGCCCCTCAGCTGTCAGGCTTTTGCTCTACTTGCATCAAGTAGAGATGCTGGTACTAGTGTTTTTTTTTTTTCTAAATTAGTCTAGGTATGGCTATCTGATCAGTGACTCCAGCCAGCTGGAACCTTCTTAAATAATGAGATGGGGATTATCAAAGCAGTAATCACACAAAAAGAAATCCAGTGTCCTTTTTCCTTAGTACCTGACAAAGATTTATAAAACAGTTCCTTCCAAAAGAACTTTAATATAAAATATTTGCGGAAGACCTGCTGGTTTCAGCTGTTCTGTTTCTGCCTAAATCCTGTTTTTTGTTGGTTTTTTTTTTTTTTTTAGAGCTCCTACACGGATATTATAGTTTCTTAAACTTGTTTAAGGAAATCGATAAAATATTGAGTATTTAACAGTATTCTAGTATTCTTGGAAGATGAAAAGTTAAATTTTAAGTTCTTTACTATAAGAGTGGTGAGGTACTGGAACAGGCTGCCCAGAGAGGTTGTGGATGCCCCGTCCCTGGAGGTGTTCAAGGCCAGATTGGATGGGGCCCTGGGCAGCCTGGTCTAGTATTAAATGGGGAGGTTGGTGGCCCTGCATGTGGAGATTCATAATCCGTGAGGTCCCTTCCAACCCTGGCCATTCTGTGATTCTATGAAAAGAATGGACCTAGTAAGGCCTCTGTCCTGCAGCACCTTTTGCTGAGATCTGAAGCCATATTAACTTTTTAATTCTCTTTTTAAATAAGTATTTTTCAGAATTATTAATTAGTAAATTCTGGCATTTCTTGCAAGCCAGTGATCATAAACCTCCAGCAGAAGTTTGGAAGTACACCATTACATGCATGTGTATAATTTGCCATTGTTGACACTCAGGTATACTTATTGATTATGAAAGATGCTTCATTGAAATAACTTCCTGGTAGAAACCTTCAAGTATCAGAGTCTGGAAGGCCTCAAAAGCATCTCACTGTGACTCTTAGTTAGAGACCATTGTATGATTCTTTTTAAAAAGCAGTATGGCCAAGCTGACTATTATTTTTACTGTCCCTGTCCACTACACTGTAGAAGCATTACATATAAATTGAATAAGGAAATATGATGTTGTAAGCCACCTTCTTTTTACTTACAAACATGCTAGAACTTCTCCCTCTAAACTTTATTGCCAAGTTATTTCTGTATTTTAGCATTCAGAAGGAATGAGTGGAAAGAGGTGGAGTAAAAGTTCCTGGAATGGGAACTTCACAATGGATTTCTTAGTCTTAAAACTGAGCAAGGAGATGCTTGCAGGTGGTGAGAGCCCTTCAAACATTCCCGACTCCAGCAGATCCAAGAGCTTGAGAGGCTTTATTAATCTCGATGGTGAGATGATGTGCAAATTCAGTAGTGACAAAGCAACCCTGCCTTGGAAGGAAAAATAGTTTGCAGATACCTTGCAGGGTGTTCAGCAGAAGTGCATCAGGTTAGAATATGGTGTGAACACTAGGGAAAACAAGCAGAATTTTAAAATACAAGTAATGAGATAGAGAGGATTATGAAAGACCGCATTGCTGCATTTGCTCTACCACTGCTGGTAGAGCTTAATTTGGAATTCTGAGGGTAGTTTTTATTCTGTATAAAACAAAATCAGAAGGGTCTTAAAGACATATGAGTGTTTAAAGAATATAGGAAAACTTCCATTAAGATAGACAAGTTGGGGTTATTTCAAGTTCTCTGATTTACAAAGTCCAAATTACTGTAGCATAAAGAATAACATGAACTACACTTTACAGATATTGAAGAATGAATAATATTTGCTGTTTTGGCACCTACTTAAGCTATCTGAAAAAGTGAGCAGATAAAACTTTCCCTTTTTCCAGTCTTTTCCAAAACCCTTCCTCTTCTTTCCCCTGCACACGTGCACCTTGTTGGAAATGGTTTGAAGGATAGCTGAGTCTGGGCATAATGATGGAAATAACATGGCAGCTTAGTGCTTTTCATCTGGGGAGTTTCCTAATCATTGGCTCATCACAAGCTGGTGGCAATAGTGGACTTTTAGTGGAGAAACCTCTCATACTTTACATACGTTCAATATGATTTTGTTTTCATGTTTGTTTGTTGATTTTTATGCATTTGTAATCGGTCTGTGTATTTTTAGGAGCCCAGGCCTGTGTTCTTGTGTTTTCTACAACTGACAGAGAGTCCTTCAAAGCAATCCCTACCTGGAAGGAAAAAGTGATGACTGAAGTTGGAGACATTCCCACAGTTCTTGTGCAAAATAAGATTGATCTTCTGGATGACTCCTGTATAAAGAAGTAAGATTTTTATCTCCTGCCTTTAAAGAGCAATGTATTGCCCCTCTATACAAATGCTTAAAAAAAGTCTGTGGGAGTTCATAAAATGAATCATAGAATGGCCTGGGTTGAAAAGGACCATGATGATCATCTAGTTTCAACCCCCCTGCCACAAGCAGGGCTCCTGGTGAGGACTTCTGATCTGTAGATTATCAAACCAAAGCCCAGCATCCAGACATGGATGCACAGGTGCTGGTATTCCTGCAGGAGTGCAGTTACTTGGGCAGATGTTTGCCCAGGTAGGAACTTCTCTTAGCTTCATTCCTTCTTCTAAAATAACCTGAAAAATGGAGCAAAAGCACCAAGAGTTTCCTTGTGCCACGATACGATTATTTTTTTATCTAATCAAAAGTCATAAGACTATAAACTTCCTCTCCTGCTAAAGCTTACTTCTACTGTTGAACTGCTGTGCGTTGTGCAGTTTGATTAGTGAAGGCCTGCTGAAACGGTCAGGAGGTTTGAAACAGGCTGTTTGAATACATATCTTAATATTCTTTGCTCTGCTTTCCTTCCGTTTGTTTTTATTGCTCATTTTTATCAGATGTTGTAACTATAGAAATCTGTATCTGTTAATATTTTCAAACTGACTGTTGCTGATGCTTCTTGGTTATATTTTTTCTTTACAGATTTTACTGTCAGTTCTTTCTGCCTCTGTATATGTGTTCAGTTTCATAACTGTCATAAAATCAGCTTAACAAATGCTAACTTTTATTTGCCATAATATAATATTCTTTGGAAAACACGGCATGATTCATCATTCTCCACTTTGTTATTTCTACCATCTTCCTGAGAGGTGTACATTAATTCTTCTTTTTCTCATTTCCTACACCGGCTTTCTTTATTCTGTTTGCTCTCACTGATGACGTATGTCAGCTTCTACTCCTTCTGCAAAGAATACTGAGGATTTTTCAAACGAAAAGCAAAATTACATTTTAACTGCTCCTGTATTTCTGGTACATCACTCAGATTTTATTCTCTGAACACACCCTCTGCCTCAGTAACTCCATCTTTCTGATGACTTGATTTCCCTTAGTGAAGTTCTCATGTTTCCTCAGCTTTTCCTTAAAATTTAGTACAAGTTGCCTTTCCCTTCACAGGAAACAAATAACTCTTCTGCTTTATTAAAAAAATTAAGAAGCATTTTTTGGTTATTTTGACTTTACAGTAGTAATTGTTCTGTTGTAGTGCTCTGTTAATTGCAGCCTCTTTCTTTTTTATTTCGCTGACAGCTGCCTTAGTGCCCTTGGGAATAAAGTCAATAAACACTGCAATGCAATTGTTTTTGTTCCTTACAGTACTGCGTGTAAAATACTACAAAGAAATTAAGAATCAGCTGTTTTTTGACTGAGCTTCTTAGTCTACTAAGTTACCACGTTCATTCTGACACAGTGTGTTTTGTCTGTAAGAACAACAAATGATAGAAATTAATGTTTATGATGACAACTGATAGAAATTAGTATTCATGAAGTCATTTTCTGTTGTGCAGTGAAGAGGCAGAAGCATTGGCAAAAAAGCTAAAGTTAAGGTTCTACCGAGCATCTGTGAAGGAGGACCTCAATGTAACTGAAGGTAGGAGACGTGACAGAGGTGGTGTCTGTCCTGTCCTTCACTATATCTCTTTGTTGCTTTTGCATGCTGTTAGCAATCCTTCTCTCTTCAATTTCTTGGTATCACTGAGATGTGGCGGTTTCTTTGTGTGTGTCTTTCCCTTCTATTTCGTGAATAATGCAGAGCTTCGATATTTAGAAGTGCCAGTGTTTTTTGGGTTTCTTGGCCCTACTGACTGTCAGTGAGAAGTGAGCTTTTAAAAGTGTATACATAGGAGTTCAATTATTACAACGTATGAATTGTTGAACGGATTAATTTGTGATTGGTTGTTAATAGTTAAGGAATAATTTGTATAAATTATTTCATAGTTTAGTTATATTAAAATAAAGTACACTAAAATTAGAATCTGTTGCAGTGATTGTCTATTGGTGGTACCTTAGTAATTCCCAAGTCTCACTATTTAATGCATATATTTAAATCTGGGTTGGCATTGACTCATTTGGGTCCTGGCCAGGTACATGGGCCTGCCAAGGAAGAATCCGTAGATTGTATGTGAAATGGGCTTTTGTCAGCAAGCAACAGTTAATGTGGGGGTGCTATTATTGATACAGGTATTATTTTTAGGTGTACTCTGATGTACCTTCTTTTACCATTCCAGTTTTTAAGTATTTGGCTGATAAATATCTTCAAAGGCTCAAGCAGCAAACAGCTGAAGAACCAGAACTAGTACATACAAGCAGTAACAAGATTGGTATGTATGCTGTAAGACATCACACACATGCACACAAACACAAAAAATTCCAAAGACAATATTTTATGCCATCAAAATTTGTGGTCTCATCTGTTACCTTAGGGAGCTACATGGTGGTTGGGATCTGATAACTACCCTCCTGTCTTAATATGTCATCTCCTTTCCTTTTGTAAAATAGCTTTGTGGCTGCACAGTTACAAGATTGCCGAATAGCTGGAGTGAAGTCTCTAGCTAATGTTTGGCTACTGTCCTTTGATTAAATTCTTTTAAACGTTGTCTGAGGATTTGAGAAGGGATACTTGCTGGGTTTCTTTAATGCAATTAGTGTCGGTGTTACTTATTTTGGTAAGAGACTCACTATGAAAGAATCTGGCACATAATAAAAAGGTCTTCGTAAACTTTGTCTTGAGTAGAACAACACTGAACTTCTGTAGCCCTTCAACAAAGCCTTTCTGAGTTTGTTCATTTATTTTCTTTAAATCACTTCATTTTTATTCAGTCTTTCCTCCATAGCTTTATCTCAGCAGTTTCTAACTTTAAAATGTCTATGTTTCTCTGTATTACTCAGCTAAGCATAATTGTGTTGTCGTGCAATTAGTAGCATGCATTTACTTGGATGAGTGCACGTGCTCCCCTTGAATTACACAGGTGTTGTATACTAGCTTTAAATACTGCCTGCCTAGTCATACCACTTGGCTCTACTTCAAACTTAGTTGCAAAATTGACCAGAAAAACAGGTAAATGTTTTGGTTTTTTTGTTTTGTAGATGCTCTGAGGTGAACTACTGTGATTTAGTAACTGATGCATCTTAGGTCTTAATGTGTTACACTGCAGGGAGGGAAGAAATACAAATGCTCTTCTTGCCTTCAACTTTCTGTAGGTGTTTTCAATACAGCCATTGGGAGTCACCCCAACCAGAATTCTGACGCTCTTAACGGTGGAGATGTTGTCAACCTCAGACCAAACAAACAGAGAACCAAGAAAAGCAGAAGTCTTTTTAGCAACTGCAGCATACCTTAGGCTGCTTTCCGAGGGAAAAGAGAAGAGTAACCGTGAATTGGATCAAGTTGTGCAATTGAATACAGAGTAAAGCTTTAGAGGTATTTTACCAGTGCTTTAGCAAATCTTGTGCCTATGGGATCCTTGCTTGGTGGATTTATCTAAAATTGCTGATGCAGTGTTTTTTGGTGTATAGAGTGAGACACCTGGTGGCAGCCACGGTTCTGTGTTTTGCCCCGTGCACTTTTTAACAATTATTAAGCAAACTTCTCCATTTTGAAGGAATTATTTATAGAGCTATGAACTAGGTTTTGCAGAATTGAGAAGCACATTTAATGTAAAGATAACACGCACAGAGGTACAGACCATAACAGTATGGCCCAAGATAAGGTAGCAACCTCATAACTAAATTTCAAAAGAAATGTTAGCATTGGTTAGCCAGGACACTAAGAAGTTAGCAGAAGAGCAATGTGAAGACATCACATTTTATGCCTTTCTCTGTTAGTGTGGATTCTGGTGGTTCTGTCAGTTCAGTATACTCCTGTTATATGTATGTCTGTGCAGGTATGTATGTGAATGTTGGGTATGAATAGTTTTGCTAAATTCAGGTGTATTCAATATGTGGAGGTCAGCTACTGATGATGAAATAGCATCTTCACAAGAATTCTTCCTTTTAAGATGTTACCTTTCAGATGAGGCTTTCCCAGCTGCTGCTGTGTGTGTTGAACTTGCTATACTTGGGCCTGAACGCTTAGATTTAAAAATGGACAGTGCCAAAAATGCTCCTTCTTTTTACCTAATGCTGCATTGCAGATGTTTTCGTAAGTTTGGCTTTCCTCAGTCTTAACAGTTTGATCAAATAAGTGTTTGACACTAATAGATATCCAGATGGAACAGTCATATTCCTGTCCAAGTGTGATTGCTGTATCCTGTATCATCCGTGAAAAAGGAACTTGCAGGGTGTCACAAAAGACTTATCTTCTTTGGAGAAATTTCTCGTAGTCCTGCAAGCCAGGTTACAGAGGATCCAAAACACACAGCTAATAACTGATTTACAGTAATGAGACATTCCTTAACGTTGTTGCTGCTACTTACAGAGAATCTAATTCTGCAAGATCGGAGACATGGCAAAACAATTTTCAAAGTACGTAAGTAATTTTATAGAACTGACTTAGACATTTAGGAATCCAAATCTAAATTGAAGATATTTGGGTTTAGGTTCCTAAATCACGACGGTGCTTTTAAAAGTGCTAAGCAAGATATCTCTTAATTACCAAAAATAAACACTTTTTAATCCTCTACAAGAGCATGCATGCCTTTTAGATATACCCATTTTGTTTACATGGTTTTGTATTATATAATTTTAACTTTCTAGGATTTCTATATAAAACCTGCCAGTGACAAATGCAAAATATGCTGCTTGAAAAAAATCAGAATTTTAATAGTTTTTTAAACAGTGTATGAGAGTGAGAATGACTCGACTGATCCTGTATATTTTTGGAGGAAGGACTTTTCACTGTGTGAATTCATTTAGGAAGCTTGACTTATTTTATTTTGAAGTCAACGAGTATGAGAACTGCAGTGTACTCTTGTCCCACTGTCCGCAGGGAAAGAAGTGGGTGGCAAGTTGTGCACAAACACTATAGATTTCTGAACGCTGTATTTGATGTTTACTCTATTAGACTCTCTACCGAGTACCTTTTGTCTCTGGCAAGCTGCCTCAGCATCTCCAGTTGCTGGCAAGAAGGCGGTCCTGTAGGCGCTCGGTAGCCTTGCTGTTGCAGCAAAATGTGTTCTTCACCAGAATGTTTCCTGTATTCACTCTTGGATAGATGCCTTTATTTTTAACAAGTGCATTTAATCACTGTACGTATGTATAAATGGAGTCAAGTCCTACTTGTCATAATGTTTTAAGTAAGGTACTTAAGGTATGGAAACAAAAAGACCTATGATTGTACATAATGGGGCCGTCTTACAACTTCAGGATGTAGGGTAGAAGGTGTGCATTAAGAATTTTGTCAACTGTTTTTAATATGGAAACTTTTACATTTCATTGTCTGTTTGATAGTTTAACCTTTATATTTGTTTTTCCTGAAAAAGCGTATGAACTCACAAAGTGTCTGAAGCATTTTTCTTGCCTTGTTCGACTCTGTACAGAGTACTGAGAAATCTTTATGTATAACAACCATTTGTACTATGACACATCATTCATCAGACATTGTATGATTACATAAGCCATTTGTATTGAAAGTCCTTTGCTATAAACTACTATTTCAAGGAGTGAAAACTCAATGGGAATTTTCATAGATGAGAGACTTGCTAAATTTAGGATACACTGAAATTTAGTACATGCATGCTTTAATCTAGAAATATATATTTGAGGTGTTGGGCTTTAGTTTCACTCCCATCATAAGCTAAAGTGGCTCCTTCTTTGTTGTGATTTGCAATGCTTAATTTCCAGTATGATGAGGTGGAGACTGTCCAAATCAGCATTTTTTCTGGAGATTACTCTGCATACGCACTGCTTCAAAATGTACTTTCTATCCCTGTAGTTTTAGTGTACAGATGTGAAGCAGATGCCTTGCAGATGTCCATATGTATCCATGTCACAGCAGGAGAGCCATTTGACTTCTGGCTGAGGAGACATGCCGATGCTTCTGGCATTCATGTTGCGTGTGAACAGTTTTAGTTACAAACACTGCCCCCTTCTCCATTCAGTGTTCTCATGAAAACCCCATGTTTTAAGCATCCTTCTGTGCCTACGAGGTGGAAGAGAATACAGTCCTCTGTGACACCTGCAGTAGGTCAGCATTCTGTGCTTTGTGCACATGTGCCTATCACAAGTCAAAGTTTTATTCTGAGAGCCTGAGCTAATTGCACTCCTCTTATATCCATTGACATCTCTTGAGTAGCTCGTTGGATATTTTATTTAGCTCTCGACAGAATTCTTTGCTTTTAGTTGATAAAGCTAATGTGGGTAGAAAACTTCAGTGAAGTAAGCATTCACTAAAAGGCCTGACACTAAAGCGTCTGCTGCTCCCACATGGTATCCATTCAGTGAATGGGTGTTCTCCTGGTGAGTGAGGCATCGTTGGGTGCTCAGTAGCAGTGCCAGGGATGTATTTCCAGCTGGAAATAACAAATCTCAGAGTTGTAAGATTGGGCACGTTAAGATTTTTGGGCTTGTGTGTGTGGTTGACTTGAAAAGAAATATTTCACTTCAGACAATTCTGGAGTTTTCTTATTTTCAGCATTACTTAAGGTGACATTTACCCTTTGTGATCGATCAAAATGTCCAAATTACTGTCAGTCTAATTTCCTGATTAATTTTGTTATATTTTGGTCTCTTTATTTTCTTCAATGTTGGGCACATCTGATGTTTTTCTTTGCATCACTTCTGTAGATGTACGTTATTCTAAAGGGAATTGAGTGGCTGAACACACTGTATGGCTTTGAGGTTACGCCTGGGTACGTGCACAATACCAGTAAATGTGCTAATAACTACCAGTTAATGAGTAACAGAATTAATTACTTGCACTGCCGGACCCTCTTGCAGGAATTCAGTCATGTATCAAATGAACAAACCTGCTGCTTGGTACCTCAGTCCCTAAATCTAATCCCAAGCCTCTGGCTAAGGCTGTAGTTCCTGAAATCAAACTGTATGCAAAACAGGGAGCAAGAGTGGTCCAAGAAGCTTGACTTCATCAAAACCACCACCTGTGGTAGGAAGTGACCATTGCACGTATCTTTTTTTTATGCTCACTTAGTATCTGACTGAAGAAAGTACTTCTCACTGTTAAATGGAGCATCCTAAAAAGTAATCAGACTCATGGCAGAAAAAAAGCAGAAAGTACCAAGATGAAAAGCGCTGTGGTAAAACATGAGGAACTCTCAGTTCCGTGCTGAAGACAAGGTCTAACTGAGCCACCTCCCGACCAGGTGAGCCCTTGTGCTAAGCTTGTGCTCAGGTTTCTGGTAGGAGGGTGACACTGATTAATAATTTGTGGAGTGAGTGGTTTTTCCTTTCCTGATGCAAGCACTGCTCTGCAACCACCTGAAGTTGCTAAAAACAACAACAACAACCCCAAAGATCTGGACCAGGAGAAATGCTGTTCTCATTGCAAAGATAAGGACACACTGCTACTAATACATGACTGAATCTTATTGGCAAGTTCATGTGATCTAAATGGCTAAAGCAGAAATGTACATAACTGTGTTTATCACCTTCGCAAACTCAAGTAAATGTATTATATTTTTAGGAAAAAATGTATCTTACAGTAAATTCTCAAGTGGTAAAATAAATGTTTAAAAATGAATATTCTGTGTCTGCTGTTCCTGTAAAATTCCTACAGGTTAATTCTGCTGCTCCTGTAAGTGACACTGGTTGTTGTATGGGCGACTTAAATATGTTTCTTTGAGTACTGCTTGGTCTGATTACACATCACTGTTTTTGTGGTCACATTAAAGTGTCAGTGTATTAAATAGCAAGAAATTGTCGTAACCCCTCAGTTGTGCAACCAGAGTCTGCCCAGAAACCTGTGCCCACGTCTGGTTTGTACACTGCCAGCAGCTGGGATCCAGGGGAGCACATGGCACAGGCACCCACCCACCTCCTCAAAACAGTGTGGGCATCCCCAGCTATTTGAGACACGTTTGCTGAGCTTTTGCCTCTTTGTTTTTATTCACACAGAACTCCAATAGAAAATATGGATTCTGTTCTGCTCCCTGGGGACTTTTTAGTTTTCATAATTGATCTGGCTAACATGGTGACAGGGCTTAAATTAGCAACCTATTAATAGGTCTGATGCATTTTCTGAGCGCAAACAGAGGTAAGCAGTACATTGATTTTCTTGCTTAATTTCATCTAAAGTAAAGTAGAACTTGTGGCATCTGTGTCTGCCTCTTACCCAAGTATCTCAGGAATCTGGAAAGTAATACAGTGCTGCTTCCTCTTGCATGCAATTTAGCACACAGAAACCATTTACTTGCGTAACACCCCAATAAGAATTATTTAGCAGTGTCAGTGTGTTTAGCAGTGTTTTAGGGAAGCAGAAATGTGAGAAAACTCACCTCACAGTGCTGAGCGTTTTGAGGTCAGAGGTGAGTGCTCACCTGCTGTTAAGCAAAGGCCCCGTGAAGACTGAAGCTGTCGCACTGTTGAGGTGGGGCTTTTGTGTGCAGTACAACAGCACTGTGCTCAGCTTTGGAAGCCAGATGGCTGCTTGGGTCAGCTGCTACTGCCAGGCACGAGGTAACCACCAGGAACAGCCGGGTGCTTTCAGTCTCGTTTTCAGGACTGACATAAGCTGGAAGGTAGAGCACAGCCTTGTTTGAGTGCTCAGGAAAGAAAGGGCAGCTTCACTGCCTTTCTTACACCCAGTTGTCTTATGCCTGCTGAGCCTCATCTACTGTTTTCATTTTGACTACAGATAGTCCTTAAAAAATAACAACTTTAATGCTTTTTTTGTTTGTTTGTTTTCTATCACCTGTGTTGCCAGCTATGTTTGGCTGCGTTAAGTTACGTTAAGTTAAAAGGGATGTATGTTGGAGAGCCAGTATGAAAGGAGCAGAACGCACAGCAGATGTTTTTTGCCATGACTTACAGCTGTGTAAGAGGCACTTCAGACAGTACTGCCAGCCTTAAAGCTGGATTGTTCCGTACCATGGGATCTGTAATGGATGAGGCATGTCTGCTTATAGCAATAGTGGATGTGTTCCTGACCTCGTGTGGCGCAGATGACACAGGGTTTGGGAAAGTGGGAGGCAAATCAGAAATGATTTTAAAAAATAACGAGTATCTTAAGCCAAAATAAGTTGAGTCTACACTATCATCTCAGCCGCTGAGCTGCAGACTGTGATGGTGACTTCATTTTGTCCTTGAGTTGCTTTGCTTTGAGTTGCTTGGCTTTGCCAGCCAGTTTTACCAGTGAGTGAGCGCTATAAAAACACTTGTAGCAACTGATGCAGGGAAGAAGGTTTCAGTAGGAGAGGAGAAAAAAAACCCTGCATGTCCTGAATACCCTATAATGGCCATAAAAAAAAAAAAAAAAAATATATATATATATATAAATAGAAAAAATATTCTAAATAACACTATGCTATTTTCAATGTTAAGTATTCCATG